CTTTTTAGGATCGTTTGGCTAAGAACCAGACGGAACCTTCGAACGGAACCGACTGGCTCATCACCGCGGCGAAGGCAAGCTGACGATTTTCTTTTTTTCTGTGTATTAATATTTATTTTTTTTTTTTTATTTAATAATATTTTTATTAAGATTTTTATTCTTTATTTCCTTCTCTTAGGCTAAGAACTGGACGGAACCTTCAAACGGAACTGATCGGCTCGTCACCACGGCGAAGGTAAGCCGTCGATTTTCTTTTTTTTTTATGTATATTAATGATTTTTTTTTATGTATATTAATTAATATTTTTTTTTAATGATTTGTTTTATTTCCTTTTTTTAGGTTCAATCATGGGCTAAGAACTGGATGGAATCTTCAAAACGGAACCGACCAGTTTATCACCGCAGCGAAGGTAAGCTGACTAATTTTTTTTGATATATTTTTTTTTCTTTTCTTATTTTGGTAATTATTTTACTTTTTTTTAGGTTCGATCGGTTGGCTAAGAACCGGACGGAACCTTCGAACGGAACTGACTGACTTGTCATCGCGGCTAAGGTGAGCTGACTAATTTTTCGATTTATTATTTTATTTTCTTTTCTTATTTTGGTAATTAATTTGATTACTAATTTTATTTATTTTATTTTATTTATTTGATTTAGGCAGTTTTAGGTTGGATCGAGATCAGATCATCCTTTGGCTGAAATTATCAGATGAAACAGGATTTTCGTTATCGCAGTATATGTTTAAATTAGTAATCGTAATCATTCAGTCCCAATTTTTTTTTTTTAAAAAAAATCATATATAAACAACCGTTGTTATATTGATATTGATATTGAAATTGAAAATATTGATATCAATATAAATAAAAACGGCCCCCATAGTTCTTGCATGAAGCTAACCAAATTTATACCTATTCCTTCCTTTTTGAGAATTCCACTATATAAAGTAGAATCACCTGACACCAACATCTATATGGCATGAACTGTATATAATGTTAACATCTTATATTCCTTTTCTCTGATAATTGGTAGTTTTGTATATATTTGCGTAAGAAAAATGAAACTTTTTTTTTTTCGCTTGTTAAAATAGTTTTTTATTTTAAATTGTACTATTTTTTATTTAAAAAGTTTTGTAATTATTCAAAATTAACAAATCTTTTTTGTTTTATTATATATTTATTTTTTTTTATACATTTATAAATATAACCGAAATTATTATATTTTTTTTAGCTTGATTAAATTTTAATTTATAGATTTTTAAAAAATTCATAACTTTATTAAATATATTTATAGTTTTATTTATATTGTATAATTAAATTTATTATATGTTTTGTATAACGCCTTTTCCTTCTCCTATTTCTAACGTATTGTAAGACATCTTTACGTTCCCAGGTTGAATCAAGATAAAATATTATTAATTGCAATATCTGTGGGTGTTGAGTTTAAATATTCTAAAGCTTCCTCAGAATATGGACTGAGGACCGGTCCCATTAATCGGTCTAAGACCGGTCTCTATATATTCTATTTGTTTATATGAAATATTAGTATTATTGGTAATCAACCGGATCACCCGATCATGTTATCCGATCAAATTGTCTTGCCGACCTAAAAGTAGATCTGGCTCCTTAGGCGAAATCCTATTTGTCACCAATATATGTCACATGTGCGCCACAATTAACCCAGCCAAATGCCGTGATGCCGGCCATTTCGTGACATTTTTTGAAGGTTACGCAGGGGCCCATGCCGCGCAATTCAAAAATTATTTATACAGGGAATAATCTAAATGTACACACGAATTTTTTTATTTTATTATATAGAATATAGATAGAAATAAAAATTATGAAAAAATTTTGAGTGTTGGGTATTTTTTCAAGTAAACGTATGCATTAGATGCATTTATAATAACATTCAATTACAAAAAAAAAACTAAAAAATCATATTTAGCATATAAAAAAGTAACATTGATTTTTCTGGCAGTTTCCCCTTTCTATTGCAAAGGTCCGATGTTATGATTTTCTTCGTCGCTTTTTTAATCACCTAACTCCTTCTATTTATTTCAATTATTGTAATAAAATCTCGAAAACCATCATCCGTTTAATTTTATTTTGCTTTTAGTGAACCCGACATTCATTATTTTCGTTAGAGGAGATAATGACAGATTACTCCATAATAGAGTATGTCGCAGCTAACAGTATATTAAGATTGGCAAACAAAGTTCTTTAGCACGTTTATGTATTATGTAGTTAATCGACCAATAATAATGTTATAAAATGGATAAAATTAATTAATTCTTTAAAAAATGTAAATACTGAACTTTAAATTCTTTCTTAGTCTTTTAAGTAATATAATTAATTTATAATTTATAAATAACTGTTTAAACGGAATCATTTCTTAACGAAATTGGGAAAGAATTTGTAAAATTTTTGAACATGTTTAATTTTTTTTGATAAATATTAATTTCATTTCTTTGATAAGTAAATCTTTTTTGCGATCTAAAAAAAATCGCCTCGAAGAATTAACCGTTTCGAAAATCGACTATTAATCTGGCATAAATTTACACAAAAACACAATTTCTTGGACGATAACTAATATTGCTTTTTCTATGGTATTGAAAATAATTTATTTATATACGAAACAAATAAATACTATATAGTCAAGCTAGTAATTTTAGAAGTAACTAAAGCCTGACACCGATAAATAGAGATCATCCAATCTTAATAACAAAGAAACCTCCTTTATTTTTGTTTTGATGTTATTCAAACCGAAGCATTCCTAATTTTTATAGGCTGTAATTCAAAGACTAGATAAAATATGACATTAAATGACTAAATTGTCAATTTGACGAATTATTCGTTAATAAACAAAGCAAAGAAAAAAAAAAAATAGAGAAGTCTTTATACTCGCAAAATTTCACCATATATAATATAAATAAAATGTTCTTTTTCTTTAGACAAGAAAGTTGAACTATAAATAAACTTCTTTGCTAATATATTTATTGTTTCCTAAATAAGTTACAAAGTTTCTATTTGAAATATTGTTTCAAGTTGTAACGCTTTTAAGCAAAATTGTTGATCATCTGTTTTGTAAATTGTAATTTGGGTTGAATGATATACAATCACTAAGTTTCAAATTTGTTTCATAATTATTTAAAAGGCAAATCTAAAATTAAAAAAACATGTAATACAACCATGACTTCGGTTTTCGGAATGAATTACCACTTAATATGGCTAGCATTGTCGCGTTGTTATAATCATTTTAAAAAAAATTTTTATGGGTGGTGAATTTTTTATAAATACACAAGGCAAATATGTAAAAAAAAAAGAAAAAAAAACCCCCAAGGATAAAAAAAAAAAAATAACGCTTTTTGTTGATCAAAAAACTTATTTATTTTTTTATTTTTTCGGATTTTAAATAAAAGTTTTAAATAATCACATTCTCTTTTAAAAAATAAATAAGCATTATTACCTTTTATTAAACCTAAACTAAATTACATACATACATTTTTAACTACGAATTCTAAAAAACCTTAAAGAATATTTCATCATTATGTTGTTAAAAGTTTTAGGTGTATCTTCAACATTAATTTCACTTTTTGTGTCAAATGTTTCGAAATCATCCATTTATCCACACATAGAACATAATATTCATTCTAACAAGTAAGTAACCTACTCCCAAATCCTTCTGTCACATACTAAAAACTAACGAACATTTATTTAGAAGCGTCTATACTCATCATCAATCTCAATACCAACTTAAACCAAAATATTTTGCATTTTCAAGATATAATCAGATCATGACTGAACCCATCGTCAAAAGAACTAAATCAAAAAAATCAAAATTAAACAAACGAAAATAATTTTGTTGAATCGACCAACTTTATTAGAAAGATCTACATAGCAAAAAAAAAATTTTTTTTTCTTCCCCAAAAAATATATGTAATGTTTATATAGAATTTGAATGGAATGAGATATGGGTGGCAAGTATAAATAAGTGTGATTTCAAGAGATTTGATAATTATATTTGTCATTTCAACAAACATCACTATAAAATATACTCTGAGTTGTGTTCTATGTGATATACAATCAAATCAAAATGGTTATAATTCAAGAAAAAAAACAACCATGTATTTCGTAATAACAAATAATGCTATTCATTGTTCATATTTCTTTCATTTTTTCTCTCAAGTATTAGAAGATTAAATTCAAATATTCGAGGAAATTGTCAGGTATTTTAGAAATAGTAATTTGCATTTGTATAGGCCAATTTATTCAAGTGTTGGGCACAATGCGTCCAAAGAATAAACGAAATGTTCTAAAAAAATTTGTCGGATTTATCAGGGTCATCAACAAAAATTTGCGTTTCTAAGCAAAGTCTTCGACGTCATCCATCAACAATTGTGGTTTTAATAAAGTTCTATTAAATGATGCAACTTGTTTCCTAAAAAAAATTTAAAATACATATGTGTGTGTAATACACGTGTTTATAATTGTGGTAAAAATTATATTAAATTTTTAATTTTAAGTAATACGAAAATAATTCGCAAAAAATCAATTAATTTATTTTAATTAAAGAAAATTAAACATTGAGATTGATTACTCTATATCTACTTAGGCTATAAATCAATGCTATTTTTGTAAATTTGATAACGTTAGATTTTTTTTTCTTTCTAATATTTATTGAAATTCAATTCTCCTTCTCTGATACAATTTGAAATTCAATTATGTATAGATTTATGACTTGATTAGAAATATGTGCATGCATATTTTATGTGAGTATGTGCATAACGTGTGAAGAAATCCTTAAATTAAGCATATATATGCACAAAGGAGTTATTTTGAACCCATAAATCAAGTTTCAAATCATAAATGTATAAATTAAAGAAAAATTTTGTTTGTTACTCAAACTCAAATGATTAACTTAAAATGTAATTCAATTAATTACAAAAAAAAAAAAAATTTAAAAAAAAAATTTTTTTTTTTTCAAACTCATTTTACTTTAGAATTGATGGCACCAAACACTGCAAAGTTCGATAAGTCTAATGGAGTTTTTAGCGAACTACCACCGGGTTTTGTTATCTCTAACGATGGACTTCATATGATGTTCGATAAAGAAATCGAAAAATCAAATAATGACGACCGTACTTATAAAATAATTCGGTTAACTAATCAACTTGAAGTTTTAATCATTCATGATGCTAAAACTGATAAAGCTGCCGCTTCTATGGATGTTAATGTCGGTTCTTATTCCGATATGGTATGATGGTTCGAATAATGCAGTAAACCCTTTCGTAAAAGATGTAAATTATTTAACAAATAAATTTTTAATTTAGGAGAATCTCTTGGGTCTTGCTCATTTTTGCGAACATTTATTGTTTATGGTAACGTTTGAAATTTAGTAAAAAGAATTTAAATCTGTTTATAATTTTCATTTTATTGATTGATTGATATTTTATTACTTAATCAGGGAACGAAAAAGGTATTTAATGTATTTAATAGTAACGGCACGTGATATAGACGTTAACCATTCCGAGATACATTTTTTTTAGTATCCAAAAGAAAACGACTATGGCGAGGTATTTAGCTATTTTAGCATTGCTTATTACAAAAAGCGACACATTAATTTTTTTATTCGTAGTTTTTAGATAAACATAATGGATCGAGTAATGCGTACACCGATAACGAAAATACGAATTATCATTTTGAAGTCGGTCACGAATATTTTGAGCCTGCATTAGACAGGTTTGCACAATTTTTTATCAGTCCGTTATTTAATGCTGATTGCACTGATAGAGAATTAAAGGCTGTGGATTCTGGTAAGCAAGCATTATTGTTTTTTGTTTATATTTTTTATTTATCTTTATAAGGAGGAAAACAGCTTTTAAATAAACGACTCACTTTTTTTGAAACAAATAATGAATTAAAGAATTTAAAGGATATCTTCAAAATGATGATTGGAGATTATATCAATTACAGAAGACACATTCCAATCCAAATCATCCTTGGTCAAAGTTTTCTGTAGGAAATTTAGAAACATTAAAGGAATCACCTATGAAAGAAGGTATTGATACTAGAGAAGAACTAATTAAATGGTATGAGAAACATTATTCTGCTAATCTAATGAAATTATGTATTTTGGGCAGTGGTATGTTTTTTTTTTTTAAAAAAAAATATATATAATTCCGTCGTTTTTAAATGAAAAAATTGCTAAAAACATTTCATTAGATTCATTGGATAAGTTAACTGAATGGGTCGTTGAAAAGTTTTCTGACATTCAAAATAAAAATATCGAATCATTTAAACCTGTTGAAATTCCGCTAAGAAAAGATGTAGAATTATGTGTAAGCATATTTTTTTTTTTAAAAAAAAAAATTGAAGTTACACAATTTTAAAAATTTTTTTTTTGATATATATAGAAAATAATTTTAGCCAAACCGGTTATGGATATTCACACTTTAAATATTGATATTCCTATACCGAACCAAATAGAAAATTATAAAGCAAAGGTAAGAAATATTCTCGTGTCATACTGTACATAAAATGATAACAGTAGTATTAATTATTATAATTCTTATAAGGCTGAAGTGTATGTTGCCCATCTAATAGGTCATGAAGGAGTTGGATCAATTTGTTCTTTATTGAAAAAGAAGGGTAAGTATCTTTAAAGCAAATTTATTTTCAATAAATATATTTGTAATTTTTTTTGAGATCTTTTTGTTAAATTTAATTGTAGGTTGGATAACTCGTATTGATGTCGAATCAATGGAGTATAGTGCCGATTTTCATTTAATGGCAATATGTATTAAATTAACTGAAGATGGTTTAGGTAGGTATTTTTACAGCTTTCAGTTTGTATCTCTACGAAGAATAGGTTTTGATAAGACCTTTGTTGTTTTTAAAATAAAAGAACATTATGAGGATGTAGTGGAAATCACATTTCAATATGTGGAAATGCTCAGAAGAGAGGGTCCGCAGGAGTGGATTTATAAAGAAGTAAGCGATTATTTAAGGTGTTAATGTTCATTCTTTCCTAAATGATAAAATTTATATATTACTAAAAAAAATAAAATTCATAAAGATTCGAACTTTAAACGATATCCATTGGCGATTTATGGAAAAATCTAGTGAATCATCTTATACATGCTCACTTTCGAATAGATTACACAAACCATATACGCGTGATAGAATATTGAGTAGTCCATTTAAAGATTACGAGTATAATCCAAATTTAATTGTTGAATTACTCAACTGTTTAAGGATCGAAAATTGCATTATTGGTCTCGCAAGTAAATTATTAAATGATTTGGATCAAAAAGAAAGATGGTTTAAAATTGAATATAAATATACGCCCGTTAATGAAGAGTTAATTAAAGTAAGTAAAGTATTTACTTGCTCTTGTTACAACATTTTGAATAAATTTTTTTAAATTTTTTTTTATAATTTAAGAAACTTAAAAATCCAGTCATTCCTTGCGAACTTAAACTTTGTCCTCCAAATGAGTTTATTCCTACCAACTTTGCCGTTAATAAATTAGAAAACATAACGGTAAACATTTATAACAAAGTATGGAATAAAATTTATATAAATATTTATTTACTTATTTGTTTGTTTTAGCCAAAAACACGTCCTGATATTATTAGTGAAGGTGATTTTCATCGGGTCTGGTATAAAAAGGACGATAAATGGTGGATTCCTAAAGCGAAAATTGATTTGTATTTTACAACGTGAGTAGTGTATTATGTTATTATTCCGTTTATTAATTAATTTTTCTTTAAAATAAATATTTATATTTATATATTCCTTATGATAGCCCACTGATTAACCTTACATCATCAAATTTGGTTAAGACCGTTTTGTATCTTTATTTATTTAATGATGCATTTGTAGAAGAAGCCTATGATGCGTTACTTGCTGGAATAGATTATTCGGCATATGTAACGAGTGATGACACTATATTTGTTAATGTATCAGGATATAATGATAAAACATTAGAATTGTTAGAGTTAGTTTTAAAGCGAATGAAAGATTTTGTGATCAAGCCTGAAAGGTTTAAAGTATTAAAAGAAAAATTGATGAGAAGGTATAATAATACGAAATTATATCAACCATCATCATTAGCAGAAATATATGATCGTCAATTATTCAAAGAAAATTATTATTCGGCAGAAGAACAATCAGTCATATTAAAAGATATTAGTATGGAAGATGTACAATCATTTTTCCCTGAATTGTTTAAACAACTTTTTATTGAATCTTTTGTGTTTGGTAACATGGAAAAAGATGATGTAAAGGTGATGATAACTATGGTTGAAAATATTTTTAAACCGAAAGTACTTGAGAAATATAGATTAGTTAGAAGTAGAAATATCAGATTACCTCAAGGCAAAAAATATGTCTGTCAAAGAGATGTTTTTGATAAAGATGAATTAAATAATGCTATTGGATATTATTTGCAATGTGGTGATAATAAGGATGTATATGTTGTGACTAGATTACAAATAATTGCTCAAATCTTGCATGAACCGGTTTTTGATCATTTAAGAACCAAAGAACAATTAGGTTAGCAAGTAATTATTATTCTGCTTTATTTTTTTTGTCGTTATTAAAAGTATTTGTATGACGTTCCATTTGTTAGGTTATTCTGTCTATAGCTATGCAAGAATTTCAATAGGAGAAATCGGATTATTGATTAATTTACAAAGTGAAATAGATGCTATCTATTTGGAAAATAGAATTGAAGCGTTTTTAATCAATGCACAGGTAATTTTGAAGATACCAATTAAGATTTTTTTTTTTTAAAAAAAAAAACATTGATTATTAATTTCTTTTTTCTTTTATTAAAAAAAAAAATAATAATAGAAAATTATTGAAGAAATGACAGAGGAAGAGTATCAAAAGCAAAAACAATCTTTGATTGATCAGCTCTTGGAAAAAGAAAAGAATATGTGGGACGAATCTTATAAATATTCTAGTCAGATTTTCTATGGTTATTGTGATTTTTATAAAAGTAAGTGGCTTATTTATATTTGTTTAATAAATCTTGTCATTTTGAATATTGATTTTTTAATTTACATTTTCTTAATAGATATAAATCATGTTAAAGACATTAAAAAAATTACTAAGGATGATGTCTTGGAATTTTATAAAATTCATATTCATCCAAAGTCACCACACATCAAAAAATTATCAGTGCACGTAAACTCTTTAAAGAGTAATTGCAAAGATACGACAAATGATTCTAAAGAAAATGAAGAAGATGAAAAAGGTGTTAACAAGAATGATGCAAAAGAAGACGACGAAGAAGAAAATGATGAACAAGATGAGAATCCTGAAGAAATGATAGAAAATTATATATTATCTGAAGATAATATTTTGATTACAGATATCATTGATTTTAAAAGTAGAATGTGTTTTGGACCTTCAGCATTTCCTATTGTACCTTTAAGCACTTTTTATGTTGAAGAAATGCTTTAATCAAATAATAGGTTTAAATTGATATTTTTAATATTTAAATCTATTATTTTTGGAGGTTCGATATTAAAATCATGTTTCGAAATTGATTTATTAATAGCAAATGACCAATTTATGTTCTTTCGATATTAAAATATTTAATAAAATTTTTTTATACTATAAATTCCTACAAGTAATTTAAATATATGAATAACTACACTAATACGATGGTGAACTTGATAATTTCACTAAGTAAATTATTAAGTTAGGCCAACTGTAGAAAACTGGCAACACATCATTATCGTTGAATTCTCTTATCTTAATTATTGAATAATTATCTGAATAAGACAATATTTGCATTTACTTTCTTATTGCCACAGGCTTCCTGCAAAGATAACAATATTAAAGAACGTATTCTTTTAGTACAATATAAAAATGGTTGGTTATTTCGATCCAAGCACATTTAAATTTTTTTTTTTGAAATTTAAAATAAGAGATTTTTACGTAAATAGGAAAACTTTAACTTAAATAATATCGCTTTTAAAAAATGAAGTCGGGGCGATCATTTATCGAATAAATATTAGCAAATAATTATACATCTATAATTTATTAAGAAAAATATTTATCAACTTAAAAACTCAATTACCTTAATTTGCTAATGAATTTTCAATAATTCCACTTCCAATACACCAATTCCCATCCCAAACAACGACATTCTAATTTTAATGTACGGTATACATGATCATTAATTATTTTTACAATAAAAAGAAATGCTTTGAGTCGGTCCTTACCTGACCAGGTGCGATGGCTCTTTTAGATGTATTAAATTTCACGATATACCTATCATCAGATCTGAATGTATTATTGGGTTAACTATTTACAATATCCTTTATAAAGATTCCCTTATATAAGTATACTTACCTTCTCGTAACGATGCATGGATCTGAAATAGCAAAAACCATTAATGATGAACTTCCTCAACGATAAACTTGCTAAATAAATAAATTTTACCAGCAGGTTGTCGATATCTTATCTGAGCAAGCAAGTTAACACCTAAATATATTTTTATAATTTTAAATTGAACTCCATTCAAATTATATAAATATGCATACTCACTCACCTTCTCCGATTCCTTCAGGAGGTTCATGCCAATTCCATATCCAATCTTTGGCCACAAGTTGTGAAGAAAATAATAATTGATTTGCCCTTTTGAATAAAGGTAAATATTATAAATATATTTACTTTATATAGATATATAAACATTTAATAGATGATACTCACGACCCAGGCACGGCGATTAAAGAATTATTCTTGATATCCTTTTTCAAAACAAACCAACTATAATTATGATAGAATTATTATTGAATATCACGACAAATAACTACAAAATAAAAACAAAAATACATGCCGATCTGGCCCATAATGTATTCTAACACATTGTCCAATCGTATAAGAAAATAAACCACGATGCTGACCTAATTAATTTAAAAATATTAATACAAATTGTTAAAACATTTCCTAGTACTAATTTAATAAAATTCTTGTGATTACCAATAACAATTCCGTCCAATGTCATAATATTTCCAGGTTTTGATACAACATATTGTTCCAAAAATTCAGAAAATTTTCTTTTCTTTCCCACAAAACAGATACCCATGCTTTCTCTTTTATTACAAGTTATCAAATTCGCATCTCGTGCAATCGACTTAACTTGTTGCTTATGTAAATCTCCAACTGGAAATAATACCTAAAGAATAAATAAAGAGCTCTTTAAAATGTGCATGTATACAAAAAAATGATCGAATGTAAATTTACTCTTTGAAGTTTTTCTTCTGCGACTGTCGATAGGAAATAGCTCTGATCTTTAGTAATGTCGGTTCCTAAAATAAAGGATTAATCATTTCATTTCTAATACATGAAGATAACTAGACAATAAAATGAACCTCGCATTAATTTAACTCGTCCAGAATCTGTACGTTCAAGTTGAACATAATGTCCTATTTTTATATCAAAGTGATTTAATATGAAATACAAAAAATAAAGTTAAATTGATACCTATATTATACCTGTAGCAATCCAAGTATTTTCTTTATTTTTGCCATTAATAGATTCTAAACATTTATCTAAAAACCATCCAAATTTGATTTCGCGATTACATAAAACATCAGGATTTGGTGTGATTCCGTATTCATAATCCTTGATCATCTTGGTAAACACTTGCAACCAATATTCTTTTGTAAAATCAAACTAAAAATAATTATGAGAAACCACTTGATAATAATGATCAAAACCTAGTTAATTTACCTGTTTGCAAGGTATATCCAATTGTTTACAAACTGACTGAACATCTTTCCAATCTTGATCGCTCGTGCAAACTCCATTTTCATCGGTTGTGTCCCAGTTACGCATATAAACTCCTTCGACTGAATATCCCTTTATTTAATTTTTGTGCTTTTGTTTTTGGTTTTTTTTAAAAAAAAAAATTTATTCATTAAAAATTAATAATAATTTTATTACCTGCCTTTTTAAAAGATGTGCTGAAACACTCGAGTCGACGCCTCCTGACATCGCTACAATGACTTTATTAAAATTTATTTAAATAAAAAAAAATATATTATTTTATAAAATAAAAAAAAATTGTGGGAATTTTATACCTTTATCGCCCGGAAGTGGATTTCTAAAGTGACTTGCATAACGACTAATGAGTTTTGATGAAGATATGCCAATACGGGAAACCATTTTTTTTTTTTTAAAAAAAAAAATTTTTATGAATTTATACCGATCATCCGTTTTTTTATGTTACACCAATCAAAATCTATTTTCTTTCCGCTAATGATAAAGAACGGAAAACACAAGCATCTCGATGATCTTTACAAAGTTAAGCTTGAAATTACTTGATAATTAATATTGAACAGACCAGTATAATGCATTGCTCGAGTAGAAGTAGAATTAGTAGGCCAAATTGGCATATACAAAAATTTCTTGTTGCCGTCTATCATCAACTGTAGGTGTGTATTCTACATATAAGCAATAATAAAAATTTTAATTTCGTTTTTTCTAAATAAAATACATTAATTAATTAAACTTAAATATCTACTTCGTTAAAATATGCTACTATTTCATCCCAGAAAACATCAATCTTTTTTCCTTTAAATCTATTATTAATTCGCTGATAGATCCTCAAGCTGCATCATCATTACACGTAATCATTCTTCAATTTCCTTACTAATTTCATTATTTGTTGTAGAGACATAATCAGTTAAGTCAAAATATAAAGTCCGAAGTACAGCTGGTGTAATCTTTTTAAAGAGAATCTTAAAAAAAACTATATTAGTTTCGCTTATTATAAAATTTAATAAAAAACTCACTTTTTTAAAGCATTCTTTTGTATAATATTTTGGCAAATTTCATTAATTGCTGCTATTACGCGGGTATTTCTGTTTCTAATTGATGGTCACTCCTTAATGGAACTTCCAAATATAGTTAACAGTTCCAAGATAATTACCCTGATAATACCGGTAAATTGTTACAGGAACATTAAGTTGCAAATTTTGATGTAATTGTATTTTTGTATTACATCATATGATTTATATTCATCAAGATCAAAAATTCGTAATAATCTTTTTCAAGCAAAAAATTAGTGAGTTTTTCATATTTGGAATGAATGCTATCAGATGCTTCAATTGTGTATACTTTTAAATCACAATCAGGATTGCGAGGTGAGATATCACTGTGATGTATTGTATTCATTTTTTGATTAACCTCTTGTAAATAAGTGATATACTTTTTAATATATTCAATCAGTAAATAACTTGAATAATAAAATCCATCCATTTATCTTCGCTTGCCCAAGGTTTTTCAATAGATGATTCTAATGATTTAACCAGTTGCTCAAGTTTCTCATATGAATGTGCTCTTTTTATGATGTCCAATAAAATAAACTTATTGTAATTTCCGCTACATTGATATTGCTCTAATTCATTGAATATATCTGGTAATTTTAATGACCGAGAAATTAGGTTTTCCCTGTGTGGATCTATATACCAGAGAAGAGCAACTAGCCTATCCACAAATTTTTTAGCAATTGACTCTGAATTTACGCCACTCCACCCATATTTTTTGTTTTTTTTTCTCAATAAAGAAATAACATCATTGTATAAAATATTTCGTCGAGCGTTGATGAGCTCTTTTCATCATGGTGTCAAAAATATTTGTTGAATCCCCTGATTTCTAGAGCTAATTTCACAATTATTTTCTCCAGTTGAATTACGAATCTTATATATTTTAACTCTAACTCTGACATTAAAGAAATTTCGTCATATAGTCCTTCTTCAACATAAATCCATTCATTATCGATTTTTCCCACATAAACCGCGTAATAGAAAATAGATCTTTTGTAATTACATCATACAATTCCCTAAAAGTATCGATATTTGAGTCAATTATAAAAATTTTTTGATTGATAATATTTTTTACCTTTGTCAACGCTGACAAAAAAATGTGACATATTGGAAAATTAGTAACGCGTCAAAAAAGAAAAAAAATCAAATTGCGTAAAATAAATCTTCTTAAAAAAATTAAAAAAATTTAAATTTAAGATTAAAATGAAATGACCAAGTGAGATACGTTTAAAAAAATCTGACTTTGCAAACTTTTCCTTAGAAAAAAAAGGTGAAAGTGAATTGTTACAATTCTCAAATTTAGATGTTAGCACGTCACCGACGTGGCTTAGCCTGTCATACATTCCGCACGTGATATATTTTAACCGAGTTTATTTTAGACGCGACAAAATATCATTTTTATATTTAAGCAAATTTACGCGTCCATACAATTTAATATCTCTCTGATACTTACCTTCAAAATATTTTAAATATTGTTTTAAAAGGAAAAATACGCTATTGAAAAAAAAATAAAAATAACGTTTACAAACAAAAAGACGAGGAGAATTTGTAACGGTGAGTTTGTATTTAATTTCATCTTAAGGAGGATGACTGAGTGCGTCTTAAGAATTCCTGGTTGTTGCC